TTGGTGGAACCAGGGATTGAACTCAGGCCCTTGCACTTGCCAGGGAAGCACTTATTCCACTGAGCCATGAAATTTATATTAATTTTTTTTTTTAAATAAGCCATAAAAAGCCAGTAGCATCTCTTTCCTTTCACTGGGTTAGAGTTTACAATTAGTGTTTTGTAACATCAAATGAAAGTTGTAAAATACAAAATTTTCAGTAAAGGACATCCTGAGTCATTGTGTTGTTTTTCACACCTTTAAAAAGTCTCAGGAAGGGGCCAGGAGATGGCTCAGTAGAATAAGCGCTTGCCTGGCAAATGCAAGGGTCTGAATTTAAATCCTCGGTTCTGCCCTCCCAAAAAAAAAAAAAAAAAAAAAAAAAAAAATTTTTTTTTTAAAGTCTCAGGAAGCCTGTATGTCTCCTTCCCTGGCTCAGCGCTTCCCCTCCACTGCTTCTCCCCCACAACTCAGCTGTAGGCTGAAGCTGTCCTTGAAAAAAACAGGCCTCCTCATAAACTGTTGCTTGACAAGTTTTGTTTTAAACCTTCGGTCACTGATTTCATCATTGGTTCACCTTTTGCCTTCAGGGAAATTTCAGATTCCTTATCATGGACTAAAAGTACCCATATCACTTGGGTTCTTGTCTCCTCCCACCTGCCTTGCTCTGCCTCCCTGCCAGCCATCTCTTGTCCCCCTTCCCTCGTCCTGGTGCTGTCTTTCCATGTCTCCTCCACCAAAAATCCTGCAACAGTGGCATGAAATGGATGGAGGTCTCTCTGTGGCCCAGCAGCGCCACTTTCTGCCTGTCACCTTATCTTGTGTGGCATCTGCCTGGTCCTGGGGTACAGTGTCAGACTGTCCCCTGCACCATCATCTTGTCCTTGCAACACCTCAGCACATGGTCGAGTTGGCCTGAAGAAAATTAGTTCAGGGCACAGCTGGAGGCAGGTTATGCTAAGTAGAAATTTTCTATTATACTTGGACACACATAGTTGTCATCATCACTTGTAAAGTTCTCAGTTGTTTTAATAATTCCTGTTTGGTTAACAAGTCCTTGACATAAAGATTGTAACTTTCTTTTTCTTTCCAGCTACTGCTGAATTGGACGCCTTTAATGTTCCTCCCAGAGGATCTGCTAACAAATCAAGTCAAGATCTAATTGCAGAAGCAACACAGGAATATAAAGAGATCTTAAGGAGAAGATACATGATCTGAAATGATAACATTTTATTTATTGGACTTTGTATAACATTTTAATTATTTCTCCTAAGGTGTAAGACATAAACGTTTTGTTGAAAGAAAATTTATATATTATTTTGAACTACTTCTTGTCATCTGTAACTTGTAAGTGGTATTTGCAAGTAAAAGCTGGTATTCCTAAGTTTTATGTACTCAGACTTCCCAAATGCCAGCTATTTTAAATCCACCCAAACAACTTGAGTTCTCATTAATACTTTGTTAGAATAAAATGTAATTTTAGTGTTATTTTGAAGATTGTATTTTCCCAATGTTTATTATTCTCTATAGACCTAAAAATGTAGACATCATTTTAGTATACTGGTGCTGTATAAACACTATAATGTGTTGTAAGTGCCAGTAAACATAATTTTTTTAAAAAATTTTAATAATATTTATAGTTCTTTCCTCACAGAGAAACATTTGCCTAAGGCTTTTCACCTTTTCTCTTTGTCTGTTCCCCCCCACCACAGTGCTGAGCTACATTTCTATCACTATATTTTTGTGAGACAAGGTCATTGTAAGCTGCCCAGGCTGAGCTTTAACATGCAGTCCTCCTGCCTCAAGCCTGCCAGCAGTTGGGATTACAGAAATGCACCCCAGACACACACCTGGCTCTTTGATAACTCCAGTGCAACCTGCACAGCCAGGCAGTTGTTAGCACTAACACAGTTCATCGCTTAGTCCTCAAGAGTGTCTCCGAGTTTTGCTCCTTATCTGTAGTGTGCTTTCCAGTGGAAGGATCCCATTCAGGCCCACAGATCCCATTAATTACTTCTCAGGTCCAGTCTGGAACAGTCAGCAGACACTGGGGCCACTGTGATGCTCAGCCCTTCACAGAAGACAGGAGAGGCCCTTTTATCCCCAGCAGGAAGCATGGGGATGGGACTCAGGTGTCACCGTGTCCAACTGCAAGACAGCAGGAGGCTGCACACAGGGCAGAGTAAAGATGTACTCTGGGCTGCAGCTTTGTCACTGTGCTCTGTGGTGAGGGGAGAAACCACCAGCAAACGTTATGCCATCCCATACCCTTTCACCAGGCCAGGGACCCTGCAAGGCTATGGATGCCAAGCGCTGGGCTAGTGGCTTCACGGGGCAAGCAGGTCACTTTTCAGCACTGTCCCACAGAATTGGGTGATCACAGCTGACCTCCCAGTCTAGAGAACATGAGTTCCTCGCCCAGGAAGACCCTGGACCCGCCGCTCTCATGTAGATTAATCCACCCGGCTCGGTGCTGAATGTACTTTGAGGAAGTACAGTCACTGGGGTTGTGACCTGGAAGGATGCTTTTTGGTTTTTTAGGACAGTCTTCCTATCTATGTAGTTAAGGCTGGCTTTCAATTTGTGGTGATACTCCTGCCTCACTCAGCCTCCCAAGTGCTGGGATTACAGGTTTGCACCACCATGCCCAGCCAGAAGGATGCATTCTTGTCCCCAGTGGCTCCTTCCTGTCTGCTTTTGGGCAGCCATGGGTGACCACATTCCTTCACTCACCCTTCTGCCATGCTCTTCTTCCTTGGAGCTAGGCTGCCGTGGACTGAACCCACTTAAATCATGAGCCAAGTAAATGTCTATTCCATTAAGTGGGGTGCATCGGTATTGTTTCAGCAAAAGGAAGATGACATATAGTTTCTCTGCCCTTCAGCTGTTGTTCCAGAATCTCTTCTGTGAAACACTGTGGGATAATTACCAGATACTCAAAGTCTGACCTACTTTAAAGAAAATAGAAGCACTTAAACTAATAAATGAGTTTAAAATGGAAAACACTCAAGACTTAATTCTCAGGCATTTTTTTTAATGTATTTAGTACAGGGTCTACAGGGTCTCACTATGTAGATCGGGCTTGTAGTGATTCTCCTATTTTCAGCCTCCCAAGTACTGGGATTACAGGCGCACACCACCACACTCGGTCTCAATCCCGGTCTCAGTGCGCCATCTCAGGCATTTTGTTGTGAAGACTGAGAATGCATCTCTTAATTCAATGAATAAGATTTATTCTAAAATAATGTGTTTGGATGGATGGCATGTCTACATCTTGTACAATGAATAACCATTGAGACAATGTGCAGTGTATTTATTATTGAAACTGTCCTGATCAGTTTTGAAACTGTCTCATAGCTATTTGTTTCTCAATAAAATTATTTTTTAAAAAAGACTGAGAATGCATGGTTATGAAATAGAATTGTCATTTTGTAGTATTTTCATGAGGGATGTGTGTTTCCTGCTTCTAGGTACCATGTATATCTAATTCCCACAAAGAAAACTCACAAGACTGCTCTCCACAGCATGTGGTCTGTCATGAAGGCCCCATGAATCTGAATCTGAATCTGACCCAGAACTGGAATATCCAGCTCCCTGGGACCAGAAGCCCTCTGAGCTGCCCACACTTCACCCCCATTTCCCATCTGCCTGCAATCCACCCCACCCCTTTTCATGCTTACCCTACCCTCTTCCTGTGCACTTCCAATCTGGGGAGGGAGACCTAGCTGTGCCTGTGGCTTGACTCCTAGGTCTTACCCTTCCTGGCCCATTGTATGAAGCCCTCTGTTTACTGCTCGGAAGGAAAAGGCCTGGTCCTTACAAAGCTGCTGTTTGAAGCTGCTTGTCCCATTTAGCTGGGCTGCAGGAGCCCTAAGCAAGTGGTGCACAAGTGGTATGCATTGGTAGAGGCGGCGGCACACAGATGGGGGCACTTGGGGAAGGTGACATACAGGTGAGACATGGTGCACAAGTGGGGACCACAGTGCAGGTGGGTGGACTTTCCTCTCCCAACCTCAAGCAAGAGGACCCCAAAGCCCAGCAGGCTGCTCATTTCCCCGTCCTCCAGCTCTTCCAGGTGTTCCAGCCTTGCTGCACCAGGATGAATAGACCATGAGGTTTGGGTTTCTTCCCAAGGGTCAGGACCTGAAGAAATTCCATCATTTCCTGGACATGTAATTAAAACATGAAAGTGAAAAGTGGGAAAGTCTTCTGCTCTTCTCAACAGGGATTCACTTGTGACTGAAAGGAGCTCTAAAATAGTCATGATTGGTAGAAAACAAAACACAAGTGGGACAGATTGTACGTTGATAAAAAAAAATCCCAGAAGTAAATTGTCATCCAGGTGGGTAACATGCATATGTAGCTGTCCTGCTCTTTTGGCAAGCTTCAGCTTTGTGTGGTAGGAGCAGTGTCCCTGAGGAGCCAGGCCAGCTGTGGGAGCTCCTCTCAACATGGCCCTTACTGCTGCTAGGTCTGGTCCAGCAGGCATGTGCCCACCCCTCTGCCTGGTCATTCTGTGTCCTCAGAGGCCAGAAGGAATCCAATAGCAGCTGTTTCCCATCCTCCATACTCACATTACATCAGACTCATGATGAAGTCTTGAAAGCCAAGATAGGTCTTTTGTCATGTAATTTGCAGCCCAGGGACAACAGTAGCACCCTGAATTCACAATGCAAAAAGAGTCCCAACTTCATGGGGACACCACCTGCAAAGCAGGGTAAGTCTCAGGAAGCAGAGAGGACAGGTTGTCAGCATTGTCACCCATAGTACAACAGAACTGTCTCCCCTGAAGTGGCCTCTGAGGTCTTTAAAGCACACAAGTGACTGAACACAGAGGGAAACTTTCTTGAAGTGGAAAATGTCACACAGGTCAGAGGGAAAGTCAGCACCTTCCCATTTTGTAACGTATATGCCATATTCTGTACTTACGTGTGTGACCTGAGTACTTCTGTAGTAAGCTTAATTTTTCATTCAAAACCCAAGCTGCTTTTTTTAAAATATGATTGATTGATTGATTGATTGATTGATTGATTGATTGACTGAATATTGGGTCTCACTATGCAGTTCAGACTCATAGTATTTCTCCTGTTTCAGCACTGAGATTATAGGCATGTGCCACCATGCCCAGTTCTGAGCCAGCCAGGTGCGCCCGGGTTCTGAGGCTGGCATGGAATGTGGTACAGGGGATTAAACCCAGGTCCTTGCAATTGCCAGGCAGGTGCTTAAACCACCAAACTATCTCTCCAGTCCCCAAACTGCTTTAAAAAACAAAAATCCAGAGACATACAATTAGTTTAAGTTGATAAAAATAATAACATACCACTGATTTCTAAGGAAAAAAGCTTTCAAATTAAACACAGATTCTAGCAGAGGGGGCAACCAGCGGGAACATCAAGCCTGGATTAATGACAAAGGAGATTAATCAGATACCCAGGAACATTCTGAAATCCAATTTCCACTTCATCCCTAGGAGCACATCTGAACACACATTTTGTCTTCAGAAACAGCAGTCAAAAAACAACAGACAGAAATGTGAGCACTGCAGAGCTGGCACTGAAGGGATAGAAACATCCCGGGCCACTCCTAGCCCTGTGAGTTCCAACAAGAAGAGTGCCGAGGACCCTCAGCCTAGCCCTGCCACGTCATGACTAGGCCCTCATCTAGAGCATGCATAGCCGCTAGTATCCAGTGGCTGTGCAAATCTGTTGGCCTCCTGGAAAGGAGATGGCTCTTTCCTGAGGATGAGCCCTAGACACCACCTGCCGCAGGCACTGTCCACTGTGGAACATGAGCAGCCTTCTGTGTAAGAGAAACAGGAGCTTTATGAAGCAGGGGTTATGCTCTGTGTTTTATATCCCATTGTGAAACACCTAGTGTTGCTGTAATCATTTCACAACTATTAGAAACAATTCCATTGGCTACATATTAAATCCAGAGAACATGTCATAATTTATTCCACATTTTCCCATTGGACAATTGAGGTTCTTCCCATGTGAAAAAAAAAATTTGAGACAAGGTCTCACTATGGAGCCCAGGGTAGCCTCAGACTCATGGCAGCCCTCACCTCCAGAGTGCTGGGATGACAGGTAAGCACTGCCACACCTGGGATCCCATGGGAATCTATAATAGTTATATGATTACATGATGACTATTTGCCTCACTTGATTGTGAGCCCTTGTGTTTGTTTTTAGCCATTCTGTAGGAGGATGAAATGCAGTAGACAGATTTCAGGATTTGTCCAGTGGATGAATGAAATATCCTGATTCCTGCTCAAATCAGCCTCATCCACAAAATGTTCCAAATCTTCCCATCAGCTGTGTGTAGTGGCCTCCCTTATCTAAGAAAGGCCAGGGATATAACTCAGTGGCACAGAACCTGCATGACAAGCATGAGGTCCTAAGTTTGATTCCTGGTGCTAGAAAAAAATAAAAAATAAAAAGCAATATTATTATCAATTACTCAGAGAAGGACAACTCTCAGTTCACTTAAATCAGAGTCATTCCAACAAGACTCTCCCCATAGCCAGCATTAAAAGCAACTAAGAATAAGAGGTTATTTACCCACTGAATTTTTAAACCATGTTTATTTTTTTGTAAAGAACAATCTCTTCCCAAGAACCAAGAAAGGATCTGAGGGAGAAAGGGACCCCAGAAAAACAACCCAGTATCTGAGGATTCACCAAGGGGCTAGCCAGCTCCTCCTGTTTTCCAGGCATCCTATTAGAAAAACCAGCAGTTCTTCTAATGTAATGTTTTTCATGCCACGGAAGTGTCTTGACTTCAGTCCTGGGCAGCGAAGGCCAACTCCATGTGCATAACCTCTGTTCTCCCTTGGACAAGTTTCCCTGGAACACAATGTCTGCACCGTGTACCCAGCCAGTCTCTTGGTGCAGTCTCCTTCACCATCTCGTAGGGCTCTGTGGAGCTCGAGTCTTCCTGCTCTTATTTGAAGGGACAAAGCTCAATGTCCCCACATGCTTTCTTGCTGCATCTGCATGCACTGAGCCCTGAGGGTCAGTTCAAGGATGCCTTGCTGGCCTTGATTCTTAGCTTTGGGCACATTTGCCCAGAATTAAAGCAGTGTCCCTTGGAGGGCACACTTGGAGGCAGATAGTTCCATGTGGACCTCTAGCTTTTGGTGTGAGCAAAGGACAGGCCTCCTGTTAGAGCAGAGCTGCCTTCCACTCTGAGACCATGTCCTCCCCACATGCCCACATTGCTATTTGTACAGCAGGAATTCAAAGTTAATTCCTACTGTTAGGAATTCCAGTGCTTGGGATCAGCAGAGTGTCAGGCCCAGCCTGGAAAGATGGGAAGTCTGCAGTGTTGTGGGACTCCCTGAAAGCTGGAGCTTTACCACAATGGACAGCCTGCTACTAGATGACTATCATCTCTGTCCTGGTGGTCCATCAGTGGGTGCTGGGTCTTGCCCCATGTGTGGCCTATGGCGCTGACTGATGTCAGCTGCCTGATGCTTTGCATGTGGCCTCATATCCCTCTGGCCCATGTCACCCATGAGTCCCTCATGATGTTCTCTAAAGGACCTGTGTGTGCCACTGAGTTGAAAATCAGGGATTTCTCACATCCCATGCATGTGATGAAAGGGACATAGCATTTTGTGCTCACTACACAGTACCACAGTTCCATGGAATCTTTTCAACAAAAGCATGGATGCAGTGACCATGTTGGAGGACAGAGTAACAACATGGTCCACACAACCCCTTAAGGGTTCCAGAGTGGCACAGCAGTCTGCTATGGAAGGTGCTGAGGTGTAGCCAGTGGTGAACTCATAGCTGAAGCTAAAGCCTTCAGCCTTGATGTTGAAGTCAGCACACAAGCCAGGTTATTAGAACTTAGGTCTCCATGAATGATTTCTGGTGACCAGACATGTACCATGGGCTCTAGTAGACTGCTTCATGCCTCCTTTCTTTCCTGTAGCCAGGTCCTGGTGGGAGATTTGCACCACTGAACTTTTCCACATTGTTTCCAAAGTGTTACTAGTCTGGAATGGTCAGCAACAGTGGGGTCCAGAGCATAGCAGGACAGTCTGCGCTGGCATCACAGCCACATGGGTTCAGGCCTTGTGGAACAGCAGGATCTCCCAGTAGGAGAAGTGGCTCCACAGTCAGGGACCTGTGAATTCCCCAGTGACACTAACATACTGTGAATTCAGAAGCATCTACAAGCAAGGCCCATAAGTATAAACCCAGTCCCTTCTCTGGAAATTGTTCACTTATAGATCAAAGCTTGACTTCGATTTTAGCATCCTTCTTTGGGCCAGGGAATGGTGTGGTAGTTATCTACTGACTACAGTTAAAGGTATCTAGGTCACTGCCAGTTCTAAGGAACAAGAGGTAGTGTGCTTTCTGGAGTCACCTGGATCTCCAGGAGTAGTGCAGCTTGGCTAGACCCTGGCAAGACCTGGATGTTGTTTTTGGTGGATGCACTGGTACAGGGCTGAGCCTTCCCCAAGTTGGGGACTTGTGGAGGCTTCATGCCAACTCAGTTATTTTGATAGCAACTGTCAGAAGCTTTTATTTTTTGTTTCTTTTTCAAGCCACAGAACAAAGATGAGGGGAAAAGGAGAAACTACTAAACAATAAAATCAGTAGACTCATTAAAATATAATTATTTATTGAAATATCATTACAGAAATATCACTTATGATTCTTCTGGCTTTGAATTGGAGCATTCAAATTGGCAAGTGATTTGGTTGCTCAAGGGCTTTCATTTATGTTTTGATTAGAAAACATTGGATGTAAAACTTGAGGCTTTGTCTTTGACTCTGACTCCCTGTTTGCCCTGCCATTCATTGATCTAGAAAAGTGTGATGACGGGGACTGAATATGCACCATCTAGGTTCCAGGATGCAAGACCTGAAAGTGAAAAGCACAGTACTATATCTCAGGCCTCAAAACACCACTTTGAGTGTGGTTGGTTCTCAATAAACATTGACTGAATAAATATTACTTTCCACACTGCTTTGTTTCAAATTTCAAAACACCTTCTGAGAAAGCTTTCACCAGTTTACATTGCAGTGTTACTTAGTATCCCTAGTCCTTTTTATCTTTTTGAGACAGGCCAACTGGCAGTGGCCTAGATACCTTTAACTGTAGTCAGTAGATAACTACCACACCATTCCCTGGCCCAAAGAAGGATGCTAAAATCGAAGTCAAGCTTTGATCTATAAGTGAACAATTTCCAGAGAAGGGACTGGGTTTATACTTATGGGCCTTGCTTGTAGATGCTTCTGAATTCAATCTTTATAAGTTGATAAGGCTAGTCTTGAACTTAAGATCCTCTTGCCTCATCCTCTGAGCCTGCTGGGTATGCCACTGTGCCCAGATTTATTTTTCTGAGATGGGTCTGACTGTGTTGTCCAAGCTGGTATGGCTCAAGTGTTCCTCCAGGCTTAGTCTTCAAGTAGCTGGGTTGCAGATGTGGCTGGACCACACCTGGCTACATGTTTTGTTTTTTGAGAGTTTATGTAGATCAGGCTGGCCTTGGGGATCATAAGTTCAAGCCCAACCTGGGCAACTCAATGACTTAGCAAGATCTTAGCTCAAAAAATAATTGAGGGGTATAGCTTATTGAGGAGATCTGGTTTCCATCCCCAGAACAGAAAAAAAGAAAAAAATATAAGAAAAAAACCAATATGGAGTTTCTGCATGTTACAAACCTAATCCTTAAATTGGATAAGTACTAACTCATTTTCTGCAAGCTTCATGCAGCCAGAGAGCTTGAAAGAGATGAGCCAAACAGTATCCTCAGTCCTGGTCGTGGGCTTTGGAAGGTGCCTTCCTGGAAGGTCCCACTGACTTCCCAATGTGAGTTTCTGCCTTTCTTGGCTCCAAGCATTTCCATGCAGGGGTGTGAGCAGGGCCCAGCCTATGACCCTCTGGGAAGCCGACTGCCTTCACTCTGGGCTTCTCAGAAGGGACAGGTTAGTGAAAGAGAGGGACACTCCGAGTCCTCTCCTTGTGGGGATTGAGCCCAGGGATAAAGAACACTTGCTTGAATGGAGTTGGCAGAGAGCTGCATAGACACAGTAAGTCAGACAGAGGCTAAAGGGCTTGGGCCCCATGACGGCAGCCTCAGCTTTGGGAAAGCAAACAGGGGCCAGAGCAGCTGGCATCAACTCTCTGAGCTGCAGTTGGGAAGCCAGACCCAAAGCTATACACAACTTCTTTTTGGGCCACTCAGGCCAATGTGGTCAGGCTGGGGCTGTTCCTGGTCATCAGAAAACCAGAAGACCACTTAACAGGTAGAGTCAAGATTGTTCTGGTTCAAATATTCTAGAAGTAAGCTGAGCATGGTAAAACTCAAATTTGATGATTTGTTCCAACTTTCTAAATTTTTTTGAGATGCAGACTCACTGTATAGTCCAGGCTGGTCTTGAACTTGAGTACTCACATGATGGTCTCGGACTAAATTGGCTTAGTTTTTTTTTGTTTTTGTTTTTGTTTTTTTGGCTAGTTCAGCCTGCCCTCGTGGCGGGGCTGGTGCTGAAGATCAAACAGTGGTCCCTACTCTTGCCTAAGCTTGCCTAAGCAGGTACTTTAGACTAGGTCACACACTAAGAACAGAAACATAGAGTTGCTCCAATAGGTATGGCATCTACAATGGCTGATGTTATAACTGTTAGTTTACATGGGTTACAGGGTGACCAGACATTTGATCAAACATTATTCTGTGAGGATGTTTTCAGATGCAATTAACATTTGAATTAGTCAACTTGGAGTGAAGCAGATTGTTCTCCACAACAGGGACAAGCCTCATCTGGTCACGTGAAGAACTCAGAACAAAAAGATCTCCTAAAGAAAGTGTGGATTCTACAGACAGCAGTCACACTCTCTGGCCTACAGTGCCAATATTGAACTTCCTGACTTGATTGCATGAGCTAATTACTTACCTATCTGTCCCATCAGCTCAGTGGAAAAGGTTTCATGTGTGTGGTTGCCATTCCAGGACTATGTTCCCATCATCTTCCCTCTCTCTACCCACCTCCCAGGCAGAGAAAGCTTCTATGAAGGTTGAAAGGCTCCTGAGCTAAATGGACCCTGGTCGTAATCCACGGTACACCTTTTGGTGTTACCCACAGTCCAGCAAGTAGTTCTGAAGAATTTTGGACTATTTTGTTAGCTTTCCTGTCACTGGGGAAAAATACTCTACACCTGCAATTATAAGGAAAAGAAATTTATTTTGGCTCATATTTTGTTATAGACAGCAAGTCAGATAGAAATACTATAGTCAGTCAGACAGGGTGAGGCCTTCGAAGGATTCAGTGCAGACGATGAGAACACATTACAGCTGTTGGTGGAGGTGCATTCTTTGAAGGACAGGCCTCAAGACAAAGATGAAATGACTATACCTACTTCCCTAGGGATAAACAATAATGATATTCTAAATAGGTATCAGTCACCTGGGTGGAGGACCAAGATCTTGACTCATCTCTGTAGGAAATGTCTTTGTCCTTGAGCCATCCTTCCCAGGAAATATCCTTGTTCTTCCCATACACATTAGCTATGTGACTTACTTCCCTATTGGATCAATATTACCTACCCAACTACACTTGTAATCTTACTGGTTGATCATAGTTTTGTCCCACCTTACAGCCATCTCATGATTCTATACCCACATTGTGGTTTTTTGGTTGGAGACCAAGCTGTATAGTGTTAACTTGATTAACACAGGGACCTCTGGCTGGGTTGAAAAATCTCCTATTCACAGTGCTATAAAGTCAAGATAACACCACAGCTGAGGCAGACAAGGATACTAGCTGGTGACATCCTATTCCACAGTAATAAACTCTCAACTTTAGAGATCAAATAGTTCTAATTGGCAAAATTTACAGCTTTGAGAAGTCTCTGGACTAACTTAATCCCATGGTCCTGCCCAGTTCATGCAGTTGCATCAGTATCCCTTTCCTTTGTTTGAAAACAAAGTAAGTACAGGTTGTTCAGTGGAGCTCTTTATCTTTACTCTTTAGAGTTTTCTGACTCTCCTAGATGGCCCCAAAATCTTATTAGTGGTCTTTTTTACTTAAGCCATTCAATGACCACTTGTTTAGGAGATTGAGGCTCAGCCAAGATCCTAATAGTTTCGCACTACAAAATTGCCTTTGAGAAGAGGGCTAATGGGTAACTTACTTTCTGGGCCCCCTTCTGTCTCTTAGAAGCTATCTTTCCCTCAATAAGTATTTCCTACTCTTAATGCTATACTTTTCTTAGAATTCATTCTTCGATTTTGGGAAACACAAATTGAGCATATTAGACATCCAGCAGATTGGGAGTATAGTATTTTCCGTCTATCACATTTGGAGGTTGCATCAGCCTTGTGTCAGTTTTGCTGACTTGCTTGGTTTTGTTTTTTGTTTTTTTTTTTTTTTGCTGTTCTATATCACAGTTGTGAGTATCCTGTCTGAGACTTTCTGATGTGTGTGTGTCTTTTTTTATAGAACCAGGACACCAATAGAAAATCAAATGAATACCTACTATATGGTACTATGAATGAAATTGTTACCATTTTATATTTGCTGTATAAATTCAGAAAGAGGAGTAGTTACACATTTAGTACATGATAAAAAGAGATAGCATTTGTGAATCAGCAAGAAAAAAATGTATCATTCGGGCTGGTGAGATGGCTCAGTGGTCTAAAGCACCTATTTGGAACAAGCTTAGCAAAGCACAGAGACCATGGTTCAATCCCCCAGCACCACATGCCAGCCAGCCCCGCCCCCTGGTG